TTATTTCAAACTATTTTCTGTTTCATACTTTTCAGTTTTTGAAGCACCCACCTGGGAGAGCTTCTAAATTAGTTAACTTTGCTCCTCTCATTAAAACAACAACAAGAAACAAACCAAAAACAAATCAATTGAAAATAAATAAATAAATAAATACTTAAAAAAATACACAAATAAATAAATAAACAATGAAAATAAATACAAAACAATTCTCCCAGACCATGTTCGTCATAACACAGTAAAAGTTAAATAAGTAAATAACTTTATTTATGTGACAAATCTTCTAACACTTGGAGTACTTAGTGGTAAATGAATAACAAAAAAAACCCCTTAAGTTACAATGCTTAACGTCAAATTAAAAATACCTAAATAAATATATTTCAAGTACTAAAATTATGCTATACAAGAGTAATTTAAATACTGTTGACTAGATCTCTGGAAGCTTACCTCGATAACGGCCACAAAACTGTCAGTAACATCCGTACACAGGTCAAATATCGTTTTCTTGACGTCAATTGTAGCTGATGAAGAAAAACCTCAGTTGAAATTTATCTTGTAATGCATTTTTCGTTACATCGATAAGTACAATATATTTTCAGTCGGAAACATATTCTGAAGATGCCCCGTATATAAACTGCACAATCCATCAACGAGTGGAAAGTGGTGAAAGCCCATCGCCTCCTGTACCCTTCCTATTTACCGATGAAAAACGATTTGCATATACAATGAAAATTCTTTATTTTTTTTTTTTCAGTAAGAAAGCTTCTAGTTTCCTTGGAATGTCCCTTTACATCATCGTTTCATAACCTATGACGACCCCTATAAAGATGATTATTTTTTTTCGAGTTACTATAAACAAATGTTTCCGGTTAACAAATACAGAACAATGGGTGGGTTGCAACTGACTGTCGTGAAACCAGCGATTTCGCNTTACCTGCTCGTCCTCTTCATCAGCCCTCCGCATCCTTCCAACTTCGTATACGCGACAAACACTCTCATCTGTGCTGGCCTGGTTCTGAAATAAAAGGCGGGCATTCTGGTGAAAAACTTAAAGGGGAGAAGCTCTCAAGTCAAATGTGACCACAATTAGCACTACTCGATTCCTTGTTATTTCAAACTATTTTCTGTTTCATACTTTTCAGTTTTTGAAGCATCTACCTGCGAGAGCATCTAAATTAGTTAAACTTTGTTCCTCTCATTAAAACAACAAGAAGAAACAAACCAAAAACAAATCAACTGAAAATAAATAAATACTTAAATAAATACACAAATAAATAAATAAACAAACAGTGAAAATAAATACAAAACAATTCTCCCAGACCATGTTTGTTATAGCACAGTAAAGGTTAAATAAGTAAATAACTTTTTTTTATGTGACAAATCTTCTAACACTTGGAGTACTTAGTGGTAAATGAATAAAAAACCAATAACTTAAGTTACAATGCTTAACGTCAAAATTAAAAATACCTAAATAAATATATTTTAAATACTAAAATTATGTCATACAAGAGTAATTTAAATACTGTTGACTAGATCTCTGGAAGCTTACCTCGATAACGGCCACAAAACTGTCAGTAACATCAGTACACAGGTCAAATATCGTTTTCTTGACGTCAATTGTAGCTGATAAAGAAAAACCTCAGTTAAAATTTATCTTGTAATGCACTTTTCGTTGCATCGATAAGTACAACAAAATATTTTTAATCGGAAACATATCCTGGAGATGCCCCGTATATAAACTGTACCATCCATCAACGAGTGGAAAGAGGTGAAAGCCTTTCGCCTCCTGTACCCTTCCTATTTACCGATGAGAAACGATTTGCATATACAATGAAAATTCATTCTGTTTTTTTAATAAGAAAGTTTTTAGTTTCCTTGGAATGTCCCTTTAGATAATCGTTTCATAACCTATGACGACCCCTGTAAAGATGATTATTTTTTTCGAGTTACTATAAACAAATGTTTCTGGTTAAACAAATACAGAACAATGGGTGGGTTGCAACTGACTGTCGTGAAACCAGCGATTTCGCACATCTGGCCCATGACAACAAATGGGAAGAACACAATGAACCAATCAGAAACCGTGACAAGAGTATGCAAGCGGCGCAAAACCCGACAACTGGCGCAAAGGGCGCAAAGGGCGCGAAAACGCGTATGAACTAAGCGCGATTGATCGTATCTTTGCCTCTGATTGAATAAACCCAAGAAAAGAAAGAAAGAAACGAAACAAAATAGGGGGAAAATATAACAAAATCGAAACACCGGGATTTTTCAACAATATTACACAGGTGTTCCGAGAAAAGTTGTCTCACCAAAGCGTAAAAGCGTAAGGTCTTAAGGTGTCATGGGTAATGGTCACGGTGGTTCATGGTTGTTTACTTGAAGCTCAAAGCACTTCACCGTGGTAGAAGGAAACAGCACAAACAAGTGTTTTCATGCTTTATCCTTCCTTCTTGGTGAAACA